CTCGATCCCAGGACCCTGGGATCATGACCTGAGCCGAAGGCAGACGCTTAACGACTGAGCCACCCAGGCGCCCCTGCTTTCAATTCTTTTGAGTACATACTCAGAAGTGGAATTGCTGGAACAAATAGTAACTCTGTTTAATTTTTTGAGGATCCACCATATTCTTACATTTTTGTCAAGAGCATACTCTTTCAGGCTTCTGCAGGTGGACTCTATGCCTGTTGTGTTTTATGCAATGTCAAGTACAATTTACTCTGCATAGTGATCCCTATTGTAAAGTAGAATCATTCACACATAATGTAAAGTCCACTGCCCAGAGTATAATTAGTGCAGGGGTTGGCTATAGTTTATTAGAGATTTATTTTTTATTTTTATTTATTTATTTTAAGTAAACTGTATATCCAATGTGGGGCTCAAACTCACCATTCTGAGATCAAGAGTCACAAGCTCTACTGACTGAGCCAGCCAGGTGCCCCTTTTAGAGACTTTAATCTGTGTACATGTAGATGGCATAGCCAAATACTAAGCAGCGAAATACTGAATAACATTTTCAAGATGATTATTTTATTTCTTTATTTATTAATTAAAGATTTTATTTATTTGACAGAGAGAGACACAGCGAAAGAGGGAACACTAGCAGGGGGAGTGGGAGAGGGAGAAGCAGGCTTCCTGTCGATCAGGGAGCCCGATGTGGGGCTCGATCCCAGGGCCCTGGGATCATGACCTGAGCTGAAGGCAGACGCCTAACGACTGAGCCACCCAGGCACCCCTCAAGATGATTATTTTAAAAACATTTTTGATGTATCACTGCAGGCTTCCCAGTCTCAACTTTCCTAGGAAAAGAAAGACAGCATTTAGTGACAAGTATCCAGAACAACTAGGCTTTACAAACTGGTGGAAATCTGGATCAATATTTACATAGTGCCACAAATTCTTATGTCCAAGGTAAGCTCCAGGTCAGTATAATTCTAGATTTTACAATTAAATACCCTGAGTCATGTGCCTTGAAATCAGTGTGTGGGAAGATACTGATCCCCACTGTCTTCGGGCTGGCCAGGTGGATGGAACTTGGAGCAGCCAGGGCTCCCTTATCTGTCACTTAACACCAGGAGTCCTGGACTCCCTGAAATACGGCCAAGGAAGGGCACTACCACCTGGTCACCCACTCTGGCAGCAGCTGCTGAGTGTCTGTTGCTCATCAAAGACCAGGAGCCATGGCGTTGCTGGAGCATCTGGTGTTTCAGGGACCTGAGGTGCTGCTAGCCATGTGTGTCATGGGGCCTGAAGAGTGGTCCAGGGCTCCTGGCAGGTGTAGCTCCAGACAGCCTGGCTTTCTGCTTCACGTATGAGGAATACTTCTGACCTTTTGGTCAAAGCTAGGGGCAGGGTGACTGTTCTAAAAATGCATGTTCACATTCTGTGAATTATAGCTTCATCATCTTGAAGTATTTGATGTGATTTTAGTTTGATTAAAAATCCACATCATAGGAAATTTCACATTTGTCAATGAGAGGAGTTAGATTCTTTAAATTTAATTTCAGTCGTAAATTGTTGAGATTTAATCCAAAGACCATAGATTCCCTTTAAGAGTATACAACTCAGGGTTTTTTAGTAGGTTCACAGTTGTGCAGCTGCCACCACCTTCTCTCTGGAATATTTTCATCGCCTAAAAACGAAACTCCATTAGCAGTCACTCTCCACTTCCTTCCTACCCTCAAGCCCTGGCAACTACTATCTACTTTCTCTCTCCATGGATTTGCCTGTTCTGGACGTTTTATATAAACGGAGTCCTGTATTATGTGTCTTTGAGTTTGGCTGCTTTCATTTAGCACACTTTTTAAGATTCATCTATGTTGGGGCGCCTGGGTGGCTCAGTTGGTTAAGCGACTGCCTTCGGCTCAGGTCGTGATCCTGGAGTCCCTGGATCGAGTCCCGCATCGGGCTCCCTGCTCGGCGGGGAGTCTGCTTCTCCCTCTGACCCTCTTCCCTCTCATGCTCTCTGTCTCTCATTCTCTCTCTCTCAAATAAATAAATAAAATCTTTTTAAAAAATAAAAAAATAAAAAAAAATAAAATGCCTGGAGGTGGGGCGCCTGGGTGGCTCAGTTGGTTAAGCGACTGCCTTCGGCTCAGGTCATGATCCTGGAGTCCCTGGATCGAGTCCCGCATCGGGCTCCCTGCTCGGCGGGGAGTCTGCTTCTACCTCTGACCCTCTTCCCTCTCGTGCTCTCTGTCTCTCATTTTCTCTCTCAAATAAATAAATAAAATTAAAAAAAAAATTCATCTATGTTGCAGCAGGTGTCAGTGCTCCATTCCTTTTTATGGCTGCCTAGTATCTCACATATGAATGTATTACATCTTTTTTATCCATTCATCAGTTGAATCATAAAATTCCAAATGATTATAAAAATGGTTTCAAGTTTTTTGTCACCTATTTGTACAAATAAATTTCTTGCAGAGGGTGATTATGAAGAATGTGAAGATGTTACCGCTAAAAAGTCCGCATCAGGAATTGTGTATAGGGTTTCAGCCTATTATGAAAAAAAAGGTCATGTTCCCACAAGTAGGCTGTCTTTTGACATTCTGAAAATCATTTCTTGGAAGTGTTATACAAATTTAAAAGTTTCTGTAGAACTTAGTACATGTTATTTTTCTTATCACAGTTATATAAAGGATATGGAATGAATTTTTTTCTCTAAGTCTTATGTATACATTCCTAAGTCCTCTCAAATTTATTCCATTGTGCCATACAAAAAATATCTTTTTATGTGTGCCAGGATGTGAAGAATGTTGGAAGGCACACCTTAGAGAAAGCCTCAGATTTTACTTAAAGATTTTAATTTTAGGGGCGCTTGGATGGCTCAGCTGAAGTGTCTGCCTTCAGCTCAGGTCATGATCTCGGGGTCCTGGGATGGAGCCCTGCGTCAGGCTCCCTGCTCAGTGGG